TTTTAAATGAAAATAAAAAAATAAAAATAAAAAATAAAAATAAAAGCGATAAAAGATGGGTTGCCTCCCACCAAGCGCTAAATTTAACGCCTTTAGCTAGACGTCTCTCGAGATCTTAATATGGGTCGTTACCATTCATTCCGACCAACTCCTTCACCATATACCGACCCAGGTGTTCCTCATCTTTCTTTTTCTTTTTCTTCGGCCCTCGATCAATGACAAATGTATATCGCTCATCAAACGCCCGGAAAGTGAGCTCTTCACGCTCGATGTCTATCAATACTCGTCCGGTTGCTAGAAACGGTCGCCCCAAAATTAGCAGAACATCATCGTCCTCAAGCATGTCGAGCACGACAAAATCCGCCGAATATACAAAGTCACCGACTTTAACCATGATATCCTTTAAAATCCCTCGCGGGTAGGACAATGATCTATCCGCCATTTGTAGTGCAATAGTCGTTGGCCTAAATTTCCCCGTCTCCAACTTCAACTTCTCGAACATCGACATCGGCATCACATTCACACTAGCCCCCAAGTCGCACAAGGCCTTCTCAACATGGAAATCTCCAAAAGAACACTCAATAGTAAAGCTCCCGGGATCCTTGCATTTCAAGGGTAACTTCTTTTGAATTTTCGCGCTACTCTCTTCAGTCATGGCCACAATCTCGTATGCCTTAAAAGGTCTCTCGACTTTTTCAACCATAGGGGAATCAACTTCTTTCACTTTACCCTTTGGCGGCTCCTTAAATTCATCCCTTTCCTCTTGAATATGGACAACATTGCATTGCTCCTTTGGATTCACCTCGATATTGCTCGAAAATTGTCCTCTCTGCTGTAGACCTCCAACTGCTATGGCCAATTGCCCAATTTGCTGTTCCATTGCCTTCATCTGTGCATCACTCTCACTCATACATTTATCCGTTCTAGTCATGAATTTATCGAAAATATCCTCCAACGAATGCTTTTTCGGCTCATTGATGACCCCGTTGGTCACTGAAAATCCAGGAGGTGGTTGTAGAGCGTTATTCGGATTTGCATATGAAAAACTGGGATGATTTCGATTGCCTTGGTAATAAGTGTTTCCCGCTTGAGATCCTCAAAAATTGCCAAAATTCCGGTCATTCAAATAACTCACATCCTCAACCGACTCCCCAAATCCTACGCTCTCCTTCTTCCCCACTTGCAACTTATTACGCACAATTGCGGTCGCTTGAGCTGCAATTGTTGCTACTGAATCTTTCTCATTGGTAGTCGCCACTCTCTTAAGCATAGTCTTCTCAACCGGCCATTGATAGCTATTCGACGCCATCTCCTCAAGAATTCGCTTCGCGTCGTTCGGTCGCCTTCCCAAAAGGGCACCTCCAGCTGAGGCGTCCACCATAGCCTTCATCGGGCCACTCAATCCATTGTAGAAATACCAAATTTGGTGCTCCTCCAAAAATCCATGCTGAGGGCACGTCTGAAGGAGTTGTGTGTAACGCTCTCAGGCCTCGTATAAAGGCTCACCATCTTGTTGCTTTAATTGAGTGATCTCCGTCTGGAGTCTCAACATCTTACTCGGTGGGAAGAACTTCAAGAGAAAATTCTGACGCATCTCATCCCATGTTGTCACTGTCCCGGCCTCAAGAGAATTGTACCACACCTTGGCTTTATCTCTAAGAGAGAAAGAGAAAAGCCTAAGCCGGATAGCGTCCTCTGGGACTCCATTGTACTTCACCGTACCACATATCTCCAGAAATTGCGCCAGGTGCGCATTCGGGTCCTCGATTGCAGCTCCCCCAAACTGCTCTTGTTGCACCATACGAATCAAGGATGGGCTCAACTCAAAAGTATTAGCTGCAATTCTCGGCCCGTGACCTCCTCCATATACTTGGTCCGCATGAGGTTGGAAGATGTTCCGAACCGGTGTTCCTGTCTCTTGTTGAGCCTGTTGCGCAGCTAGCTGGCGTTGTAGTTCCGTCAGTTGTGCTTGAAGTTGTCTATACCTCTCTTCACCTTGTTCCTCCATCGCACCTCTCAATCGTTGTTGTAGTCTCCGGTTTGCGTTGTTCTTTCGGCAACTAGCTTCAATCTCAGGGTTAAATTTCACGGGTGAATTCCCACTAGACCTCGTAATCATGCACGTGCCTGTCAAAACACACAAACCAAAAAGGATGCAATTAAGAACCAAATTATGAAACAAAAATAAAAATGACTAAAGTAATATCTACCCGTCTTCTTCTAATATTAATTAATTTTAACGAAACAATCCCCGGAAACGGCGCCAAAAACTTGTTCGCAAAATATTTATACTACCCGCAAGTGTTCGGTGTAGCTGTAGAAAGCGGCGAGCAAGGTCGTATTTTACAGAGATTGATGTTAAAATAATTAAGTATCAAAATGTAGATGATTAAATATTATTTAGACTAACTCGAATTTGAATGGTGATTCTATTCTAAACAAAAGAATGATTGCAAAATAAATTTTAAAACTAAAGAAGGCTTGTTCTAAATAAATTAAGTATGAGAAAATAGATTCTAGCAAAGTTTTCTTATTTATTCAAACCTTATTTAATTCTACCAATCGTAGGGATAATCGCTAAAGTAATTTACACCTTTCTCTCGAACAAGTTAAATCGTAGATATTAATTGTTATCTATCTCCTCTCGGTCTCAAGATGAACAACTAACTCCCATAAGCTCCTAACATTCTAGTTCCCTCGCAAGATTCTATCAACCTTTCGGTCTGTTTAGTCTCTTACGTTATGAATTTTCCGATTCTAGCAATCAACTATCTCCTCTCGGTCTCAAGCCAATCACAAATATGCATAAATATGGGCCCTATATTCACAAAATTCATATAATCACAAGAAATAGATAAACGAAAGATAGACCGGAATGAATAAACAAAATCACTTCATAAAATAATCCGAGTACTCGCAAATCCTAGAATCTCAAAGAGATTTAGCTACTAAACATATTCTTAATACTCAAAATAAACACATTCATGAGTTCAATGAAGAAGAAAAAGAGAAAAGAAAGAAGAACTATTGTTGCCGTTAGTTCTCGGATCTTCAATCTTGACTCCCTCGAATCCCTCGAACTATTGTTTCGTGCTTTCTCTAGGCCTCCAATGGTATCCAAAATCCCAAAACCGTGTTCTTTTTGTTCCTTATATACTGTAGGGCAGTTATGGGTCGAAAAAGAGATCAAAATCGCGTAGGTTTCCTATTTTCCGCTGGTTTAACTGCGCGTCACACGACTCGTGTCACATGCCACACGAGTCGTGTGACATTCCTTGAATTTTTGCCCCGCTCCCAGACTCACACGGTCAACCCACACGAGACGTCACACGACTCGTGTGAGCCCACACGACTCGTGTCGTTGGCCACACGACTCGTGTGGTAAAGCCGCAACAAAATTCCACAAAAGCTCAATTTTTCTCACCCCACACGACTCGTGTCACGCTCCACACGAGTCGTGTGTTTGCACCTTATTTTCGTCATTTTTCGTCCCGATTCCATCTTTAACGCTTT